ACTTGCTAGACCTACTTTTTTTCCATATTTCTTTGCACAAAACTCTCCAGAAAGTGCCATTTAATGTGTTTTTTTGTTTTGTTTTTAAATTCTGAAAAAACATTTTTTTTTTCGTTCTCTTTTAAAGATCGGATGGGGGGGCCCCATACTACCTTCGCCTTGGGCCCCCAATTTGCTAAATCCGCCACTGGTTATCCCTGATCGCCCTGTATGCCCTGATACAACCATGGCGGTTATCCCTGATCTCTCTGTCTGCCCTAAGAAAATCATGGCGGTTATCCCTGATCCCTCTGTCTGCCCTGATTCAACCATGGAGGTCATCCATGATCTCCCTGCCTGTCCTCTAATGGCCACAGAGGCCATTACTGAACTCCCTGCCTACTTTGACACACCCCCAGAGGCCAACCCTAACCTCTCTGTGCTCTTTTCTCCAGTTCCACCTGCTCTGCTGTTGTGGTGACTAGTCCTGCCTGCTACACTGTGGTGCTCCTCAGCTATGCCTGCCCCGCCGTGGTGGTCGTCTACTCTGCTGTGCTAGTGTCCTGCTCTGCTGTTGGAATCTGCAGTCCCATCTACTCTTCTGTGGTGGTCATCTGCTCCACCTTGGTAGTCACCAGTCCCATGGACCTGGCCCTCCGTCCCGCCCTCTGGCCCCCCTCCCACCTCCCACCTCCACCTCCCTCTTGGATTTCAGTCACTGTTTGAGGAGCGTCTGGAGTACTCTCATTAAGATGTGGCTATGTCTCATCCACCGGCTGGTGTGTCCATAATCTCCACTAAAAGGCACTCCTCTCGAATCCTGGGCTATCTCATCATGAACTTCAATTCCCATTACCCATTGCTTGGACTTATAATGTTGTGATTAAGTTCAGCTGAGTCTCATTATATTGTTCAGCTCTGCCTATGTAGCCTCATGTTTTCTCTCACTCATTGCAAAGTCTTGTTAGGGTCACACTGCATTTCCGAGTGTTCGCTCTGGTTTCCCGTGTCATGGTTTTTGATCTTGGCCCTGTCACAAGTGGAACCCTAAGCACTCACGGTCTTCCTCTGAGTCCGCACTTTCGCGACGTAACGCCGCTTTGAATGTCGGGAAGAAGTCTGCTGTGGAGTCCGCATCCGCGCGGGCTCGGCAAAAGTGCGCATCAAGGGCGCAAATCGACCGCAGAGGGGGCGCTCGCGAGCACCCTTCTGAGATCTAAAAATGACAAATGGGACACACTGCGGTCTCACGGACTTAACGGACACGCGCACGCGGCAGCCATTGTAAGTCCACAAGACCGAAAGTGCACATGAAGTGTGCCATTTGGGATTGGGCCCTTCTGTCTGGTTTTCTGGATTTTCCTGTTTGCCTGTGTTTTCTACCCAGTTGTTATCTGGGTTGTTTTCCTTATGGTTTTGAAAATGTGCCTGTCTTTTGGATTATGATTCTGGATTGCCCCAATAAACAGCTGCATTTGGATCCTCAACCTGTGTGTTTCTGAGCAATTTGTGACAGGTATATTTACCACCAACTAGCAACTTATCAGACCCCTTTACAGACTTTTTTAAAAAGTAGGTCGTCGCTTTTTAAAAAAAATGTAAAAAGTCCGACACTGTCTGGGAAACGTCAAATCTAACAACATTTTGAACTGCTGGTTAACATGTAGTCAGTCACTATATCATACTTGTTCCATTGTCTGACAGAAAATATGCAAATGGAACAGCTTTATTGTAGATTCGGCTATAATATTAAAAGACAGTATATGAGCACGGATTAGCAGAGAAAACGGTTGCTGCACTGCGTCATCTAGAGACATTTAACGGCTTTTTGAGCAGGCTTTAGCTACTCTCTCTCTCAAAAAAGTTGATCAGCCAATCAGCATAGAGACGTTATTTACGTGATAATAGTTTGAACTGCTCTCGCTGATAATCTAGCAACTACTCTACAACTACTGTAAATTAAAAAAAAAATAGTAATTTAGTCAAAGCAGCAGCTACAGATTGAAAATAAATGAAGACCCCACCCAGACAGCAACATAGCGTCGGCCCAGATCCGGCCCACATCTGGTACACGTGGAATCCACATGGCCCGGATCTGGGGCGACACTATGTTGCTGTCAAGCTTAAAGATGAACTGAACTGAAAAAAATCGACGTTGATAACGTGTTGTTTATGACAATTAAAAGTAAATTACACTAAAAAAATTTATTAAAAATATCAATATAGCTTTTTTTAAGCAACACAAAAATTGCGCTTGTTACGCTGGCAGTTTCGATGACGTCACTGGCATGGTAGGACACGCAAAGGTGCATAGGCAACAGCTGCAGGTCCTAATACACAGACGAAAATAAGCACTTTTAACAGCATGGGTTACGCATTTGAACCTGTGAGGGACAGTCCAGTAGTTTCTGACTACCACCACCACATGGAGGATCAGTTTCAGGCTCCACATAGCCTACAGCACAGGATCGTTTGGGCGAAGTGACTGGTGTGGGTGTGTGAGCTGCCGGAGCATGGACACTGCACCGGAGTCAACAGGCTCTGTTACAAAAAATGTCTATCTTAAATGATTTCTTGAACGCAATGGCCGATCAGAAGCAAAACATATAACTGTGATTGGCTACATCACTCGACGCGATGTTAAAGCGTTGTTATGAATAGAATGTTATGAATAGAAACTCTGGCTTGTAAATCGTTTCTATTTTGTTTTAGTTGTTCTTGTTGCTTTTCTGCAACAGATGAATAAAAATCTATTATTTTTTATTCATAGATATGTCTAGTTCGCGGGAGCCCCGCGAATCGTTTTATTTATAACCCGCACACACAGAGTGAGTGTAACCGCCCGCGCTCGCACTCGGAGTCTCGGCCATCAGATCTAGTGCCGCGCAGCACTCTATACACAAGTTTACGCGCCAAATCATGGGCGCCGCCATAACTCTACTCAAATGCACTTCATTTCCGCCGGAAGTGGTTTGCACAGCGTCTGCCGGTGTAAACCGTAAACACAGCGACGGTAAAAAAAAAAAAAAATCCACCCGAATTCAGTGCAGAACACTAACATGACGACGTGGCCCAGCATAACGTACAGCGAGATTTGCTCCTACTTCGTGCAATCCATGGCAATAGATGGAAAAGCAATTGGACAATCTGAAAGCCGAGGCATATCAATATCTGCACAGCAACAAAGTCGGTTGTGTCATGTCATACACAGCTAGATCAAACAGTAACGTGCAAATAACTATCAGTTTATGTCCGTGGTAATAGCAAATGTATCTGTGTGATACTTTAATGTTTCTTTTAACATAATAATAACAATTGTGGCCAAATAAGTGTTTGCAGTTTATAGCTTAATCAGGGATGACATTTACATGATTATAGGAAATAAAAGAAGCCTGTTGTTGCGGATGGAATACGTGTTTGTATTTGGAAAACGGACTGTAACCTATAATAACATGACTTACTGCTGAGCTATAAATAAAGACATGATCTCTTTTGCAATTATCCTTATGACTCTGCATTGTTTTGCCTGCTGTCAAAATCCAGCCCTTTTACCTGTTAAAATACCTTTAAATGTCGAAACTAACCCATAAAATGCAGTAGCATGTTCTTTCTGTCATCCTTTAGCTAGGGTTATGACCATGCTCTTATTCACGCAAATGCTTTAGTTTAAACCACTCATGCGCGACAAGACAAAAGAGAACGCGCTGTCAGTGAATGTCTTCCTGACGTTGGTATCCGAACTATATCATAGACTTCTTAGCTAGAGTGCAAAGTGTTTGTGTGTGCCATGATGATAATAATTAGGCGATCGAACTGTGTATGTGAGAGAGAGAGGCGCGGGCGCGATACTGTGTGTGAGTGTGTTTGTGTGTAAACAATGGAGCGCATGGACATTGCCTCTTCGTAGCTGGTTTGCGGTCGTAGCACTCTCTATCTAACCACTCGTTCAGGTGCTTTCTCGAGTGTTTACAACCAACTACCACACACATCGTTCCCGAACCACATTTCTTCATGTTGTAATTGTTATGTCACTGCGATATCAGCGCTTTGTCGGAGCTAGCTAGCAAAACAAACCCAGCCCGCCAGAACGGAAGTGGGTTGCATCGACGGGAGGAGTTTAGGATGTAGAGCGGAAACGGCTCATAAACTTGTGTATTGCGTTGGGAGTGCCGTCTCAAGGATAGTGTCGGGAAATATCGCTCGGGCAGAATAAGCTCTAGTTCACTCTTCCTATGCTAAGGAACCGAGAGTTGTCATCCAGTCTCTTTGCTAGAGAGAGAGAGAGAGAGAGACGAGGAAAACAAACAAGCATGCAAATGGAAATTATCGCGGCCGGAAAAATTATCGAGCTAATTTTTTTATCGTGTGATTAATTTATTTATTGACTATCGCGACAGGCCTACTAAATAGTCTGTCACTAAAAAATGCTCACTACAGACTCGAAATCCAGGGGCTGTCGGAGGGCTAGACAGTTAAAGGCAGCTAGCCTTGACTTGAGGGCTGGTTTCCTTGTCAAAGGTAGCCTGTGAAAATGTATCGTAACCCCAGCTGCCTTAGCCCTATACAATTCATTACTACAGCCAGGGGCAATACAGTATGAACCCCCCCTAGACCTGTTGGTTTCTGTTTCCCCAGCCATGTCAGCTAGCCTCAGACTATTTACATGCTAATGGCTGCTCTGCTGGTGTTGGTTGGCAACGGAGTAGCCTACCATGCCAGTGACGTAGCCGAATGTTGAAATCCAAGATGGCGGCGCCCATGTAACAAAAACAACATTTTCAACGTACAGTTTTATCCCTTTTAACAAATTCTGCCATTTTAATAATTGTACCAATGATAATAAATAAAATAGATCTGTTATATCACCGTTTTTCAAATTTCAGTTCAGTTCATCTTTAAGTTAGATATAACCTGGTATTATTTTTACTCACACTTTAATACATTGTCATCACTTATTGATAATGGTAATTGGGTGATGAGTTATTGTACAATGTCTCAGCTGCCTTCTGCTCTTGATTCAGTCAGACATCATGGATGTGAATCAGATCTTCAAGGATCTCGCAGTCATGATCCATGACCAAGGTGACATGATAGGTGGGTTAGACTAGTTCTCTCTCTTCATTTTCTGCACAGGTTCAGTCGTTCACACATGTTAAAGCCTGCTTTCCTTGTGTCATCATATACAGATAGCATTGAAGCTAACGTGGAGAGTGCAGAGGTGCATGTGGAGCGAGGGGCCGAGCAGATCCAGCACGCCGCTTACTATCAGGTATGACCACCACACCTTCACACATTGTGACTGATGCTATGTTAACGTCTCAGTGCTGGTAGAAACTGTTCATGATTGTGTGTTTTTTTCCTTTTAAGAGAAAATCCCGCAAGAGGATGTGTATTCTGGCTCTTGTCATGTCGCTAGTGGCAACAATCTTTGCTATAATCATTTGGCAAGCAATCAGATAAGATGAGAGCTAAAGCTGACAGAAGTACTGGATCCTGCTCCGGTGTTGAGTGTGTGAGAGAGTGTGTGTGTGTGTGTGTAAGAGAGTGTATCTGTGTGTGTGTGTGTGTGTGTGTGTGTGTGTGTGTGTGTGTGTGTGTGTGTGTGTGTCTAAGAGAGTGTATCTGTGAGTGAGTGTGTGTCTGTGTGTGAGAGTGAGAGTGTGTGTGTATCTGTGTGTGTGATACACTGATAGTAAGAGAATAGTTTCTATATCATATATTTGTCTGTGAATTATCTGGAGCAAATACAGTACAGCATTAACACAAGAATTCAGTTTGCATGAATGTAATTCCTTTTACAACTTGTATTTTGTTGCAGGTCTTGGTAAATTTTTCTCTGAAATTATGCAAAATACATACTCTTAAGAAATATTTCTTTCTTTAAATGAACTAAAAGAAACTGTTTTGATGTTGTGTATGATTTAATGCACAGTGCTTTGATTCTCACAAGTAAATGTATTTCTTGGTAGTACATAATAAAGATCAAATAAGTTTTAATACATTGTTCTTCAGCTCTTCATATCTATTGTATTTCAGTTGATCAGAGAAAGAAAGGTTGTTGATGATCCTGCTTAAGACTTTACACTCCAAAAGTAGAAATGAAATAAATAAACTGTTAATTATACAATATAACCATTCAAAAGTTTGGGCTCAGAAATATATATATATACTTTTATTCACCAAGATGCTGTTCTTTTGAACTTTCTGTTCATCAAAGAATCCTGAAAAATAAAATGTATGACGTTTTCCACAAAAATCTGAAGCAGCATACCTGTTATGATAATAATCATAAACGTTTCTTGAGCATCAAATCATCATATCAGAGTGTTTTCTGAAGGATCATGTGACTCTGAAGACTGGAGTAATGATGCTGAAAATTCAGCTTTGATCACAGGAATAAATTACACTTTATAATATATTCACATAGAAAAATGTGAATAATATTTGGGAATAATATCTTACTATTTTTACAGTATTTGTGATTAAATAAATGCAGCTTTGGTGAGCAGAAGAGACTCTTTCAAAAATCTCACTTTTAAAGATGTGAGATTATATCTCACAGTAGTGCAGGTTATATCCTTCAAATATAGGTTTGACTTGTAATGATTTTATTTCCAAGGCAAATCATAAAAATGATAAATAATAATAAATAATGTCTTGGTCCTATATTCTTATGAATAAACTGATTTAAGTAGGACAGCTAAACACCATATAACTGTTCATCCACCAGGTGGCGCACAATAAACATCAGTGAGCGGCTCCTCAGGGGTCAAAGGTCACCGATGCTGACCCAATACTCAAGGTTGTGCTCTGTTGCTCAGATCTGTTTCAGCATCACAGATTATAATAATAACTGAAGATAATGCTGACTTTGAAGAGCCTGCTGAAGTTATTTTCGAGTGGTTCTTGTGCGTCATTAATAATATGCATGATCAGAAGTCCGAACACCCCCACTGTCCTCCACTGATTAACACCACTGACCCTCACACACCACACACACCTCACTCGGCATTCTGGGACAGTCTTGAGTATGATTGCAGCGGCTGAAGTGTGTGTAGAGGGAGTGTGTAGGAGTTGGAGACCCTGCATTGTTTCTTAGCTCAAGCCTTAGTTTGATACATCACAAGAGCACACATTTCCTTAATTTCATGTAAAATTATTTTAATTTGACCACTGACCATTGTTTCACCGGGAATGATCCTTGTTGGTTCTGGAGCAACATTTATATCAGCCTTCAGATTTCAGGAATGGGGGATTGGTTTGGCTTAGGCTCTTCTGTGTCTCATTTTACAGTTATAAAATAAAATCACTGTGTCTTTAAGAGAACAAAGATAGTCATCATAAGAAAGAAAAAGAAAGAGAGAGAGAGAGAGAGAGAGAGGGAGGGGGGGAGAGAGAGAGAGAGAGAGAGAGAGAGAGAGAGAGAGAGAGAGAGAGGGAGGGGGAGAGGGAGGGGGAGAGGGAGGGGGAGGGGGAGGGGGAGGGGGAGGGGGAGGGGGAGGGGGCGGGGGTAAAGTCACCTCTCTACATCGACTGCTGTTTTGTTTGTCATATGTTTGTTACATATTATCTTTTCATATGAGACTATACTTTTTCCTTCAATCTTTTTCATTTCCTGCTCCAGAGATTATTTTTGCAGAAAACATGAGAACAAAGGAAATGTGAGTCGGTGGTCCTGAAATTTGTGCGTGTGCGTGTGTGTGTGTGTGTGTGCGTGTGTTTAATTAGGCTATTGAGTCCAAATAAATACAGATTTTTAAATCAATGTTACATTAAATGAGACAAAGTAAAATTAAAATGAATATGTAGTATTTATTCTAGGCTTATCGTACCATTTCCCCCCTCAATTGCATGCTAGTAAAACCATTAATTTGTTACTATATTGTTAGCCATTTTATAATGTGTATCACTGTATGCGTATGCAGGATTTACTCATTAGTAACGGGCGTCTGATTGTTCAGCAATACCTCTTTAGACAGCCTCTGCTTGTCTTCTTCTCCCAAGGCCCTCCTAGATCGTGTTGTTCCTGTTGCTACTTGCTCCTGCTCAATGTATGCTGATAACTACGACGGGCTGAATGGTATTTATTTTAATGACACGATAAATGACTGCGTTTGCCATGACGTTGTTCAAGTTCAGCTGGCCTCAACGCGCGAGTCGCGAGATGTCCCAACCCAACAGTCTCTCTCGCTCTCGTTCTTTTTATTTTTTATTTTTTTTAATCACATTTGATAAAGATATTATAGTAGTGTTTCATTTTTTCTTGTTATTCAAATTCAAAATTGTTTTTAAATATTATTTGTCACTTAATCTTAAAGATATTTAATAGTGTATGTTTGTTCCCACCAATCGCTGCACAAGTTAAGGATACGTATGATGACGTAAGCACGTTAGTGCGAGCCCTCCCGGAACCCATAGAGAATGCATTGCAGTGCCTCCAATTCGAAAAAAAAACATCTTTGAATGGAAGTCTATGGGAACACTCGGGGCGATTCTCAGCCAGAGTGAAATCGCCCAAAAAGAGGCGGTACTCCACAGAACGTGACATGACGCTGATTGGATTATAGTGACACGGACCCGGCTAGCGTAACTCTGTGGTTGAATGAGATTGTGAATGTGATTGAAAAAGTCACTTTCACACTTTGGTGGTGCGTCGCCCAATCGCCCTAATGAAGAAACCGCCCCTGGTCTGAAGTGTGTTTCTCTGAGGAAGATCATCAGCTGATGAGATCATGCGTCATGAAGAACAGTAGCGTGGGTTTCACACACACACACACACACACACACACACACACACACACACACACACACACACACACACACACACACACACACACAGATGGTGTTGTGGTGTATTTTAATCACACACTCGAGTCTAAACTCAACACGTGTCTCCGACTCGACACAAAACTTCACAGTGCAACAGGAAATATGAGCAAACATTACAATATTATAAATATAAATATTATATTATAAATATAAATATTACCGACAAGGTTTGTGTAAATAAAGCTCATGCCAAAGGGGGCAACGGGACAAATTACACTATTATATATTTCCAATGTCCATGATCACAGGGGGAGACCGGGGACGGTTGTAACACGGGGCTAGTTGTAACACTACCAATTCCACCAATCAGGGATAAGATAGGAGTCATGTGACAGTTTTAGTTTCCTCAGGCTTCCTTTACGATCTCACACGGAGGTTTTTGAGGTTTTCAAGTCTTTGTTGCAATCTCTCCTGAAGCTACAGCAGAAAATCTAATTCTGAGATAAGAAAGTAAAAAAACATAACAAGATAATATTTTGTTTAGTACTTCTACCGTTGTAGATAATGTTGTATGAGTTATATCAGGTCAAACTGTAGTTTCTATAGTAAAGAATGGTGTATCAATCTCCTGGTAATTTCAAAGCACCATGCTAATACAGCTAGTTAAACAATTGTGACAGTGGCGGGGTAGGTTGTAACACGTGTTTTGAAAGTGTTATTGTGTTAGTGTATAAGTCCTTTGTGACTTAAAATGCATTTCATTTCTTTGTTCTTTTTCACCATTGTGACTTAAAAATGCATTTAATTTGTTTGTTCTTGTCACCATTGTTTACACATGCACAAACACGAAATATGCACATACACCCCCATATTCACACATATTTTATTGTTGCAGCCATTCATTTAAAATAAAAATGATGTTCTGGCATATCACTTGGAATACCCTTAGTTTTTGTGCATTTTGTCTACCTGTTACAACTTACCCAGTATGTGTTACAACCTACCCCAGTAGTGGGGTAGGTTGTAACAAAGGACCACCTTGTATTCATGATCATCTCACAAAGTCTGTGATATATTTTGAAGAAATTTAAATTGTTGCCATTTGTAGTAGACAAATATGGGTACTTTGCCTAAAAGTTTCAGACGTGTAGCTAAAAAAAAAAGGTCGTTTTAGGTGCTGAAGAAAAAAGTGTTACAACCGTCCCCGGTCTCCCCTATACCAGGGTTATTATTGTTAGGCCTAAGTAAAAAGATAAAAATAACTTTCATTATTTTCGTTACTCGAAATAGTCTTTAACTGAAATAAAATAAAATACGAAAAAAAACTTCCATTTTTAAAAAGACATAAAAAAAATATATGAATATACAGAAACTAATAGTATCTCAATGACACTAAAATAACACTGTTGTAAACACATATACCATACAAATGTACATGGGAAAATATTTGTTCATGTTGACACATCCAGGCGTGTATTAAAGCATTATTTGCGGAGACTCTCCACTTGCGCTGTCAGAGATATTTTAGGACATAATCAGATGTGTTGTAGGAAACACTGAGGATCGCACAGGTGTCAGGGTTGCATTTCTCTCTCAGCGAAGGTGTCCTCGGTCCCGAGACTCAGAGCTGTTCTGGAGATTAATGACCGAACAGGTGCTTCATCTGTCACTGAAACACACACACACACACACACACACAAAGAGATGTGTTTTTAGTCTAGATTTGAACTGACAGACTGTGTCTGCTTCCCGGGCAATGTTAGGAAGACTGTTTCCAAAGTTTTGATATTCTAGGTATTATCAACTGGCCGGAGTTTTGAGATCGCAATAGACGTGAAGGACTATAATGCGGAGCTCGCTCAAGTACTGCGGAGATAAAACATTTAGTGCTTTTTAAGTAATCAGCAATTTTTTTTTAAATGTATGCGATGTTTAATAGGGAGCCAATGCAGTGTTGACAGAACACTAATATGCTAATATGGTCATACTTCCTGGTTCTGGTAAGAACTGGAGCTGCTGCGTTTTGGACCAGCTGTAATTTGTTTATTAAGCGTGCAGCCTTGGCTAAATGGAATATACACAAGACTAGATAATGATCTGAGATCTCATCGCTCTGCTGCAGAATTTTAACACCATCAATATTAATTCCGTGAGATAATATTAGATCTAGAGTATGATTTCGACAATGAGTAGGTCCTGACACGTGTTGTCTAACTCCAATAGAGTTCAG